TTAAGGAGAATTTGAGATAAAATCATAAATAATATTCAACGTTAAATTGGTACACAATTAAAAACATTTTATTTAGGTTTATCTATGGCCATCAAAAAGTTGACGACTCTACATGATTCGACGTTACAACGTCATAATCAGGAGTGAGGCCATAGATAGGCCTAAATAAAATGTGTTTCTCTTATTTTTTGGATATGGTTGTCATGTTTGTTACCAAATTTGATTAATTATCTCTATTGTAGATGAGAAATTTTTTCTTATGTATTATACGTTACATAGGATACAATTATAAAAAAACCATGCTGTTTATGTAATTTGCTACAGTAGTGGTAACATTATTTTTTCCCCTCTAATGTTTGTATGAAAATATCATCACAAAGACCAGATTGGCCACTAAATGTTGTTTATCTTATCAGTTTCCCTGTACCACTTCAGCTTTGGCTGAGATTCGTCTCTAATTGCATACTTATTTTTTCTTTATTATGAAAATTGTTTTTTTTTCTCTCTCTTCTGTTTAAGTCAAGAAAAGTATTGATTTTTGCTAGAATGCTCCTTGCTCCTCATGTGTTTGTGGAAATAATGACTTTCATGCTCTGTGTTTCCTTTTCAATGTACAGGCAAACCCAGAGAAGTAGTTTCAAGGTTTTTCTTGACTTTAGTAACTTAAATCCTTACTTTGTTTTGTAGACTAGGGTAAAATTTCTTTTTATCTCATAGAGGGTTATATTTAAAGTTTTTCTGTTATTTTGAGCTTAGTATGTTAATAAATAGAAACAAAATCGTAACTTTTTTTTTTCTTCAACAAAGTTTACAGTTATGATTTATTCATTGTGCATGTATTTGATAATATACTTGTTTGTTTTTAGGACCTAATTCAAGTATATTTAAAAACGTTTTGCTATTGTATTGAGTATAAAGTTTTGTGTGATGTAACGTGTTTGGTTAGGCTTAGACGTTTAACTCTATTTCTAGTCAGTTGCTCAGTTGGCTCATGCTTTAAACAGTGAAAAACTGGGAGACAGCACGCTGGTTCGTATATTCTGGCCAAAAGACAAGTACAGACTTTTAAGAGATGATGTGGTGTTACTTGATAGGTGAGATTGATAAGAAATGCGTCAAGTTTTAAACATTGTATGTATATCATAATTTGTTTTCGGACACGATGAAAGATAAAGGCTTTATGTGTTTCAGCGAGCAAGCATCGGTAACTCAATTACCATCATTGATGTTTGTGAATACGACATTAGCTGATCAGAGTTTACTATAGGCTAAACCAACATTGTATTCACAAGCCCTGATGATGGTAGCTGTGTTATTAAAGCTAGTTATCTGAAACAAATAATAAAGATTTTATAATTCTTTATGTCAAATATTTGTTTTTTCCTCCTGATATTGTATATATCATTATTAATTAGTATTTCTAAGATTAAAATACTTTCAAAGAAGTTTTAAAAGACACTAGAACAGGTTATTTTACCTTATCATGGTAAAAAAATTTAGCTGGATAATAAGACAGATATTACCCAAACCCTGTATGCAAAGATTTGAAAAGCATGAAAATAAAGTTGTATCAGAGTTAACAGCATTTGATAACCTTTTAAAAACTGGGAGGTTATTCATTAACTTTGGATTAGCTCAAGTAAGAGAAGAAATTAACATTTACTTTAGTTGATTTTAATTATCAGATTAATTAGCATTGTTCAAGTTCTGTTTAATTCAAAATTAACATCTTGGATGATTTTGTCCTTTTTGATTATTTTTGCGTATCTCGTTTATTTTGTGTTTTGCGCACACATTATTATTAAATTTCTAACTGTTCTAAAGTCTTTAAAGGTCAGAAATAATTGCCCAAGAAATGTTTCATAGAAGTTTCTTATTAATTATTATTATTAATAATATATGTAATCCTTGTGTGGGATGTTACCAAAAGATAATTTCATCAAAATCAAAAGGAGCTCTTGTACATTAATAACTGTTGTTCGTAAATCATGTAAAAGTTAAGATTTACTTATTAAAAGTTTATAGATTGAATACATTGGTCACTAGATCACTGGTTATGACATTTTACTGTTAAACATTCATGTCTCTATATTTGTGTCCCGGGGGATTTACAATGCTAAAATCAGGGGTTTGATTCTCCTCAGTGGACACAGCAGATAGCCTGATGTGGCTATGCTATAAGAAAACACACTGTTTTTATTACACAGTTGCCATAACAACATAAAGATATTAATATGTGCACAAGTATTTACAGGATATCTTAATATTTTTCACAGCCCGGGTGTAGACGTTTCACCAAATCTTGATGATTGGATTGATAAACACTGCTTGGATGCTGATGTATTTGTTCTAGTTGCTAATGCTGAATCTACCTTAATGCTGACTGTAAGTGTGTCTGTGATGTATAGTGCATTGAATATATGTTTTATTGTATCTTACATTGATGTGTATATATTCCCTAAAGTTAATGTGTCAGCTTTTACTTGATTTAGAAACTATTCCTTTTCATAGTTGTGCAGTTATATGGAAAATGTACGTAAAGAACATTTTAGCTTGTATGTTACTTACATTCAGATAAAATTCTATTATTTCTTTAACTCGATGTCACCTTTTGCCTGTTTAAAAATGTAAAAGCTTTCTATAAGTAGTTTATTATCTAAAGAGAAACATTTCTTAGACCAGACTTTTTATTACCAACTGTATTGTATTAAATCTAAACACAAAGTGTCTGGGCTGCTACCAAGGTTTTGTATACATTTCCTGATATCTGGTTAAAGCTTCAGTCAGCCCGGCATAGCCAGGTGGTTAGGGTGCTTTACTCGCAATATGAGGGTTGTGGGTTCGAATCCCCATCCTACCAAACATTCTTGCCCTTTCAGCCTTAGGGGCATTATAACGTGATGGTCAATCCCACCATTCATTGGTAAAAGAGTAGCCCAAGAGTTAGTGGTGGGTGGTGATGACTAGATGCCTTCCCTCTATAGTCTTACACTGCTAACTTAGGAATGCTCAGCACAGATAGCCCTCGTGTAGCTTTGCACTAAATTTGAAACAAACAAACCTTCATCTATATTTTAGACCTCCTGAAGTTAATTTTTTGTTTTTTTTCTATGTGTAGATGTGAGTAGCTTATTTTTTATTTCTGTTGTCACTATATTTTAATAGATCACCCTTACATTCATTTTGAAATAATCTCTGATTTGATACAGTAAATTAGAAAAATTGCAAAAAGCTATAAGTGTCTTATATTGATTGGTTTCTTTAAGCCAGTGGCTCTTGTCAATGAGAATAATTTAGGTAACTAACATGAGTTGATTATAATAAACATACTCTACTAGGTAAGAATTATAAGCAGTTGTAAGTTTGTAATTAATTTACAATGTTTTTTTTTGTTTTGTATGTGTATATTTTGAACATCACTGAAAATAGTGTTAAGTTCTTGAATTCCCTGGTTCTTATTTTTAATTTTTATCTCAGTGCAATACCACAAGCATCATTATGGTATTGCTCGTATTTTTTTTTATAGATTTCATTAATGGTATTGAAATGTGACACTTAGGTGATTCAAGCAGTAATGATAAAATAAATTGGGTTATCTTTTGGTGTAACTCTTAATTTTTGTTTTACCTTTTTTAGGAAAAAAATTTTTTCCACAAGGTCAGTGAGCGCTTGTCCAAACCAAACATCTTTATCCTTAATAACCGGTGGGATGCATCCGCATCTGAGCCAGAGTTCTTAGAAAAGGTAGATTGACCAGTAAATATGAGAGTAATAAGTTAAAGGATTGACCAGTAAATATGATAGTAATAAGTTAAAGACATGTTTCTGCATCTGAGCCAGAGTTCTTAGAAAAGGTAGATTGACCAGTAAATATGATAGTAATAAGTTAAAGACAAAGTAGATTGACCAGTAATAAGTTAAAGACAAGGTAGATTGACCAGTAAATATGATAGTAATAAGTTAAAGACAAGGTAGATTGACCAGTAAATATGACCAGTAATAAGTTAAAGACATGTTGAATTATAATTTTGAGCATTACAATAAAATACTTAATAATATCATATTAGAAATTATTGGTAAAATAGCTTTAACATGCTCTAAAATACAGTTTATATTGATTCGATCTCAAATTGTTATGTGGTTAGTATATCAAGCTGTGAATCATAGGGTCCAGGGTTTGAGATGTGATGCCAGACAAAGTCCCTTGTGGTAGCAGATGCTGCTGACTGGCTGCTTTCCTGATCAGTAGTTCAGAATTAGGAATGGCTATACCTTAACCCTAGGGATCTCTTGCCCTGGCCTGGTAACCTTCACTCACACATGTTATCATTCATGTTGAAAATTCTAAGTCAAAATTACTAAGCTATTTAATCTTTATAATTACATTTTCTTAATACTAACTTAGCTGGAGATTTTCGAATGTTTAATAGAACTTAATAGTTTACTAAGAGGGACTTGTATATTGAATTAAATGAATGAGTGTCCAAGGTAGTCTTCACGGAAGCTTGCAAGTGACAATGTAATGTTTCTAGAGAAACAAAATTGTGAGTAGTGCTATTAAGAGATGCTGGTTATCTCTTTAAATCTTTAGAGACACTTTATTAATTGCTTTTGAAACACGATAAAGTGTACTGAAATAATAATGACAATAGTAGTGATAGATATGAAAGAGTCATGAAATGCAGCCTTATGGTCACTCTCTTATTAGTACGATGCATTATCTATCGGGTGTTGAGTTCATTTTAATTCACCATGCAATTGGCCTCCATGTCACAGATTCTTTTTTCAATTTCACCTTTGGTGAAAAAGAAAAGAAATCTTTAATATATACATATATAATCATTAATTCTCTCTACATGGGCTCGGTCAAATTGACTGATCACGTGACTACTTTGTACTCATTTAAAGTTGTTATAGTTTTGATACTACTAACTTTTAATACCACTCCTAATTAGACCCTGTTCCTTTCCAATAAATATCAGCTCCATACTTCACAGGATACCACTCCTAATTAGACCCTGTCCATTTCAAACAAATATCAGCTCCATACTTCACAGGATACCATTCCTAATCAGACCGTGTTCCTTTCCAACAAATATTGGTTCCATACTTCACAGGATACCATTCCTAATCAGACCGTGTTCCATTCCAACAAATATCAGCTCCATGCATCACAGGATAGCATTCCTGATCTGACTGTGTCCATTTCCAACAAATATTAGCTCCATACTTCACAGAATACCATTCCAAGTCTGACCCTGTCCCTTTTTTATAACATTTTAAACTTATGAAATGCTTTAGAGTATTTTAATACTGACTTGACATGTTTTGATATTATCTATGATAATACTGTGGTCAAGATTACCTACAGCTATTTAACTCCCATTTGAACCCCATTTGTTGTTTAGTATTGTGATGGTCCATTTTAGGACCTTAATATTACATTTGTGTTTGCACTTAATGTAATCTAGCATTGAATGTGCACACCCATTCAGATGTGGGAGCATTATAACTTAAGGGTCAATCCCACTATTCATTTATAAAATAGTAGCCCAAGAGTTATTGGTGGGTACTACTGGCCCTTTGTCTTCTCTTTGGTCAGAAGCTCAAAATTAAGAATGGCAACATTTAACTGTAGTAGGCTTGCCATGAACAAAACAAAGTATTTGTTATATTTCAGGATGTATGAATTTATTGTTGTCTATTGATATTTTTGTATTCACTGTTTACAGTGACGCTTTGTTCATGTAAGTTGAATTTAATTAAATTATGAAACTTCTGTAACATGTTACTAAATCATTGATAGATTTAAAGCTGTTATACAAAATTTGTTTGTAAATTTTTTTTAAGTTTACTGTAAGTTCTCAGAAGATTTCAGTATAAAAAAAAACAAACTTGGTGTATATCTTAAATTGCAATTCTTCTGATTTTTTTCTTTTACCTTGTCATAAAGAACTTTAAAGAGAGTAGGTTTGTTTGTACCTACATATACATATTAAACATTCTAGGTGAGGAAACAACATCTAGATCGCACTGTAGCCTTTTTGGTTGAAGAGCTAAAAGTGTGTACAAAACAACAAGCAGAAGATCGGGTATTTTTTGTGTCTGCACGAGAGATGGTTCAGACGAGGTTGAAAATTCAGCAAGGGTTACCCCCTCATAGTAAGTTACACAGTTTCAGTTTCCTTTTTATATTCTTTGGTTTTGAATTAATTTCTTCCATGTAAAAGGACTAACAATACTATGTATTAACCCCTCTTCCTACTGACAGGTCAAAGAGCTTGTGCCACAACGTTTGAGAGTTATTCCAAAAATTTAATTAAACTTCATTATCAATGTATGTCACTAAAATTGGTATCAAATCATAGTTACAATTCAAATCTTAGTATTATATATGTGTTAGTTTCTTAACTTGAAAGAAAATATAAAAAAAAAAGCTAAATATTCTTTTTTTCTGTGTCACATTGCACCTCCTCCTCTTGTCTTATTGCTCAGTTTATGGTTTGTTACACCTAATATACAGTGTCTATATTGGTTAATGAATTAGAAACTCAAATTTCACACATTGGCAAGTTAGAATATACAACATAAACCTCCCATCATTTTGATTTGCTGAGATAACAATATTGTTAGCAAACCTACCAGTGAAACTCCTCCTACTACTCCATTCTTTTTCGAACCTCTTGTCTACTCGCATCTTCTCTTAAGTATATGTTTGTAACCAATAGGAAGAGCACATTTGACAGTTATTTCTAATTGGACTGAAGGGGAAGCTGTTGTTTCACTGGAAATGTTGAAATCTGTTGACTTAGTCATTGTTCTGAACATAAGTTATATTTTTAACCCACATACAGCATGGGTAGAAAGCCAGGTAAACTACAGTGGTTTTATGTGTACCAGTATAGTAATTTGATAATTTTTTGATTTTCTAAAACACATCTTTGAAATCTACAAAAATTAGTCTTCCCCCTACACTTAAGAAAATAAGCCTTACGGAGAGGCTTAGCAAGTATGACATACGAATACAAATGAATTTTGTAACATCGTAAGTACTAGAAGTCCTTGTTGTTCTGTATATTTTTAATTTATTGTTCTATGTTTTAAAAAAATAACTAAAAAAAAGAGTAAATAGTAATACTATATATACATGTTTATAAGAACTTGCACATCTGTACCGCTAAATTCCAACCACCCCAGGAGGATAACTAACATCCAAATACCCACTAAGTTTATTGGATCAGCTAGAGCTTTGTACAGAGCCATATTTGAAACATTTTCTCCCACTTTTATTACTTTAGACATTTCTTATTGGAACCACTGTATTGTAAACAAGCTGATAAATCCTCTCCCACTGTGTTCTCGGGGGCCAGGATTTTGATGAACTCTATAGAAAATGTCTGCTTATTGTACCACATCTGATTCTTTGCTATTGAAGATGTTGTATTATGGTGTCGTGTATATAGTCTAATGGCAGAAAGAGTAGTTCATTGCTTTATGTTTGGCATGTTTCTACTTCAGCCACTGAGAGTGAAATAAACATAAGAAATAGGTGTGAAAAGGTTAGAGGTAGAACCTCTCGGGAGAAGTACGTTTGAACTTTGTGGTCAATACTATAGAAGAGTACTACTCATTTTTTCATTATACTTTGATGAGTTGTCAGAATCATTTATACTGTTAGGGTGGAGACAATAACAGATAAAATGCAATGTTTTATTGTGGTTACAAGGTCTGTCAGATTGACTGAATGCATATAGAGTTAGAGTAGAGAAAATAATAGATAAGGTATGAAGTTTTAGCGAAAGAAAACATTTGATATTTATTTAGAAGGTTTTAGAAATTATGCAAATATAATTTGATAGTTTTCGGATGAAGAAAATTGTTTTAATTGTAAATTGAAAATCACTTTGCACTCAAAGCAGTTAATACTAACTCCATATATTCCCAGACCAATTATTAGGAAAAATACTTAATTAAAGATTTAGTTTTTTTTTGTCTGCAAAAGGCTTTTAATGTTTACTAAAAGATTGAAAACTTTCATGAAGATACACAAAACATATTAAAAGGTATAGTATGGAAACTCATGGCTACTTTGGGGTCACGAGGTCAGTGTAATCCACCGAGTCCATAGTAAGAGGGTTAAATGAGGAAAAAGTTCAGTTTAATTAAAAGATAAACAGAATTCTTAATATGAGTGATTTTGTGTGCTAACCATGAGTGTCCAGGTGAAGGTCAAAGGGTGCATGTCAGGATCGTGATCTTCTAAAGAGTGCCACTCAACACGGTATTATGTATTTGATGTCAGAGTTATCGACTATTCATTTTATTTTACATTGCTGATTCAGGAACGTTTGTGATAGAGGAGAGTAAATATCAGATGCATTATACAGGAATACTGAAAACAACTGTAGGTATGCATTTCAAAGGTTCTAGTTGTTATGCAATGTGTAAAGTGTACAATGGACAACATATTTTTATTTCTACTATTAACATTACCTTGCTTTCTGACTTTTCAGATTCTGAGTTGGACTGACATCAATTCACAGATGTATCTTGAGTATAAATATTGTAGTAACACATCTGATTTTTTGTGTATAACAGACTTGTACTGTTTATTAAAAGTTTGCCACATTTTGTGAAGATTCTCTTTGTTAACTTCGATTTCTAGTCAACATTAATTCTCCAATATAACTGGACCAACCCCGTGCACATTCTGTTGATGTGCATATATTTGCATATAAACGTTGCATGCTCACACACACAGAGGTTGGACCCACCAAGAAAGATTTAACATAGTATTAGATCTCATGAATCTTCAGGCCAGCAGTAATTCAGTTTAGCAAAGAATCAAAATTTAAACAACAATATTACTCTATTATTCATTTCATGACTACCTACAATTTGCTGTAAAATGTTGGAGCAAGAATACATCATTAAAGACTGGAACCTCCATAATGTTTTGATGAAATGGAGATCTGTCAATTAAGTAGGCTCTGGTAGCTGACTGAAAGCTTCTTTATGCTTAGTAAAACAGTATTCATCAACTCTTTAGTCTGGATAAGTACATTGTTATCATGAGAAATACAACCACCCGAAGAAGGAAGAGGTTGCATCATAGAGTAAACATTGCCTTTTGTTATGGCCCAGTATTCACCAGCAATGTTGTCTCATGGTCATTCATTATATTCACCAGCAATGTTGCCTCATGGTTATTCATTATATTCAACAGGAATGTTGCCTTATGGCCATTCATTATATTCACCAGCAATGTTGCCTCATGGCCATTCATTATATTCACCAGCAATGTTGCCTCATGGTCATTCATTATATTCACCAGCAATGTTGTCTCATGGTCATTCATTATATTCACCAGCAATGTTGCCTCATGGTTATTCATTATATTCAACAGGAATGTTGCCTCATGGCCATTCATTATATTCACCGGCAGTGTTGCCCCATTTTGCATTCTTGTGGCGATCAGTTCATGCTTTAAAATATAGACATGTTTGTAACTAAAATTAATCCTTTCTGTAGTAAGATGTTACTCTTAGTTTATTAGAACCAGTTCAAAATAGAAAATTTAACCATTTAAATCCCTGTTCATAACAAGTGGGTTAATTTGGATTTAGTTAAGCCCCTTTTTTCACTCAAATTAATCATTGATCATATAAACATTTGAAGCACTTTGCAAGCAAAATCCTCTTACAACTCGTGAAGTAATGAACAGGATAACTCACGTTTATATTAAACCATTATTTCTGTATTAGGTTAGTGAAAATTTTAGAATTTTCATTTAAAAGACCCAGCTGAAGGTGAACAGAGGTCATGTTTGCTGTGAGTAGTAAATTAGTGTATATGAATTTATAATTTTTTGTTAAGCCCACTTGTAGACTTCTGTAATTGTTTTTTATATACACTTTAATATTTTCTTTCTCTGATTAAGCGGGAGCACTGGCTGAAGGATTCCAAAATCGCTGCTTTGAATTTCAGGATTTTGAAAGAAAATTTGAGGTAAAATGTAGATTTAACTTTGTGTTATGGAATATTCCTCTAATGTAAAAGTAGAGGATTTATCTACTATTTGTAATCCATAAGATTACCTAAGACTAATTATTTCTTCTTAATAATTTTGTATTACTAGATACTAATTTCAGTAGCTAATCTGTTGCAGTCTTCAGGATAGTTCTGAGAAGGACCGTATTCACAGTGGTTAGGATTTAGTCCTTGGGTTCCTTATTAGAAGGGTTGGTGTGCTATTACCCCTGATGTAGGGAACTTCCCATAAAAACTTGAATAAACTGTTTGAATGTTTCAGTAAAGGGGTGTCCAGTTGTGTTGACCTCTTTGTTGTTAGGTTGACTGAATGTGTTATCAATTAGAAGGAAGCTTCTTTTATCTTTCTCCTACTCGTATGTAGTTCTTATCCCATTGTGTTGTTAATATTCCATTTTATTATATGGTCTTGCCTAAAAAGATTGGCCATTGCAGAGAGATCATTATTATAATTTGTCTGATATGCCCATGAATTTGAGTATTGTTGGATTCTTCTTTTTTTTATTATTGCAGTATACGAGTAATGCATCTCTTAGTAACCATCATGTTAGTATCTGTGTGTTTTAAACACACAGATACTAACATGATGGTTACTAAGACACGTAACTCATACACCACAGGAGTTAACATCATGTGAACTACTGTGATATATTGGTATGTGTCTTAGTAACCATCACCTTAGTATCTGTGTGTTTCATGTTAACTCCTGTGGTATATTGGTTATGTGTCTTAGTAACCATCACCTTAGTATCTGTGTGTTTCATGTGAACTACTGTGGTATATTGGTTATGTATCTTAGTAACCATCACCTTAGTATCCGTGTGTTTCATGTGAACTACTGTGGTATATTGGTTATGTGTCTTAGTAACCATCATGTTAGTATCTGTGTGTTTCATGTGAACTACTGTGATATATTGGTATGTGTCTTAGTAACCATCATGTTAGTATCTGTGGGTTTCATGTTAACTCCTGTGGTGTACGAGTTATGTGTGTCTTAGTAACCATCATGTTAGTATCTGTGTGTTTCATGTTACCTCCTGTGGTGTATGAGTTACGTGTGTCTTAGTAACCATCACCTTAGCATCCGTGTGTTTCATGTGAACTACTGTGGTATATTGGTTATGTGTCTTAGTAACCATCATGTTAGTATCTGTGTGTTTCATTTTACCTCCTGTGGTGTATGAATTACGTGTGTCTTAGTAACCATCACCTTAGTATCTGTGTGTTTCATGTGAACTACTGTGGTATATTGGTTATGTGTCTTAGTAACAATCATGTTAGTATCTGTGTGTTTCATGTTACCTCCTGTGGTGTATGAGTTATGTGTGTCTTAGTAACCATCACGTTAGTATCTGTGTTTCATGTGGACTACTGTGGTGTATGAGTTGTGTGTCTTAGTAACCATCATGTTAGTATCTGTGGGTTTCATGTGAACTACTGTGGTATATTGGTTATGTGTCTTAGTAATCATCATGTTAGTATCCGTGTGTTTCATGTTAACTCCTGTGGTATATTGGTTATGTGTCTTAGTAACCATCACCTTAGTATCTGTGTGTTTGATGTTAGCTCCTGTGGTGTATGAGTTGCGTGTGTCTTAGTAACCATCATGTTAGTATCTGTGGGTTTCATGTTAACTCCTGTGGTGTGTGAGTTACGTGTATCTTAGTATGTAGTGTTGGTATATCTTGTAGTTACTTTGATTTTGGAATAAGTTGTTTTGTAAGTTTTTGGAGTATACAAATATTGAATCGGTATATTTTTATTGGTATGAGACCTTTGTAACAACTAAGTATAACATTAATTTTTTAGGAATGCTTGTCAAAGTCTGCTGTGAAAACGAAATTTGAACAGCACACCCAGCAAGGAAAATCCATTACCACGGCATTGAGGCAAATAATGGATACAGCATTTGAGAATTCTCAACTGACAAAGTAAGTTATAATATATTAAAATAAATGTTTTTATATATTCATTCTCTACATAACTATTTTTCAGTTGTACCATCTATTGTTTGGAACTGTGGTTGTTATTGGTGTGTAGGGATAAATAATTGATTATGTAAGATTAATATTATTTAAATGTGTTTCATTTGTGTGCTGTCTGAAGAGCATTTTTACTGATTATAAACACTAGGTATCTTACAGTAAGCTTACGTGCAATAACAATTAGGTAGTTTAACATAAACGTGTTTTTTAAGTACAGTTTTTTTATTACATTGATAGAAAGGAAAAATTAGAGTTGAGAAAAGAACAGAAAGACAGACTTGAGTTTACACAACAACAGCTCCACCTTTTGACAGATGAAGTGAAACATCAGATTGGACAGTTAGTGGACAAAGTTGAGCAGCAAGTGGCCAAAGCTTTGAATGAAGAAATTCACAGGTTAAACGTTCTTGTTAATGAATTTGAGCGACCCTTCCATCCAGATAGTTTGGTTCTCAGTGTATACAAAAAGGTTTGAGATTATTTTAAGGCTTATTGATCGATTACTTCTGACTAATCAATTATTCTCGTGAGATAAGAACAAAAGAATACTTGTAACACTAAACATTGGGTTTTAATATCATTGGTGGGCACAGTACATATGTAGCTTTAACTTAACAACAAACAAACATAATCGCAATATTTCAATTTCATGGATAGTTGGTATAATTGATAATGGTAATAATCGGATACCCTAATTTCAATTAGTTGATTACTTTATGTGCTGCTAATTAATTGCTCACCTCTAACCCTCACATTTATTATTCAGTTCCTATAACAAGTGTTATAACTTTTTTTTTACTATATTACATGTTTTATTTAGATAAATAGTTCTTAAAAAGATTTGAAAATTTTCAAGCTCAAACATATCTCAATTGCACAATATTTATGCAAATATATAATTAAAATATAAAGTATAATAAACAATCTCAGTATGTTAATGAAGTAGATGAAAAATTTCTAACGGGTGTTTATATTTTATTATCAGGAGTTTTAAGATGTACCATTAAAGCTAAGAATTAACTTCCTGCCATTTTTTATGAATAAACTTAACTAATTCAGAAAGTGGAACAGACATACAGTTTAAGAAGTAATACTGCTGATCTAAAAACAGTTTCAATTTATTGATAACATTACATTCTCTGCTAAATTAATTATGACAAAGTTACCAGTTGTGATAGCAACATTACATTTTAGACACTTTGTTAGGAATCAGAACAATACTACATGAAAACAGAGTCAACGACATTGGTTTTCTTAGAGTTGAGCATGAGGAAAGTACAAACTTTAATATTTTATTGGCATATTTATTGTGTGTCTTCATTATTATGTAGACGTAAACCACGTTTTGTTTATTATTCAGCTTGAAAATAAGTTTTGTTAATAGATCACGTTTTTGTATACTTAAATAGTTTTTCAAGGAAAAAAAAACTAAAGCATATTAAACGTGTGTTTAACTGTAATAAAATCAAATCTAGGAACTACATACCCATGTGGAAGAAGGCTTAGGTAGTAACCTACGAGCTCGTTTATCAAACACCGTAGCTATGAATGTTGAAAGTTCTCAGAAGGAAATGATAGGTGAGTTTTCTTTTTCTACTACACTTCTCCAAATATTCACATATACTTGCTAAGAACCTGTTTGAACAAACTGTTATAATCTGAATGTTACAGTGTAAGAACCCAGTCTACCAAACGTACTGGCTTGTAATGCCTGCGTGTATAGTATTCGTGATGTAAAGTTTCCAGTTCCCACAAGCCCATTGTTACAACAGTAATTGTTGTAGTGTAAACCTTTTTTTTTTCAAGACGGCAAAGCATGGTTAAAATCAGTTATATTTGTCATTAAACATTAATATTAGTATTAGGCCTATTATATTTTTATTGTTCCAACTACTGTTGTGTTTGTTGTATTCTTGCCAGGCCTGATAGACTTTGGATTGAGCGAAATGTGTCATTTAGTGCAGTTGAAATACTATTATTATACACTGTTCTAATTCTTGAAAATCTCTAAGGGAATAGATAAAGAGTGTAGTATTAACAAAAACATAAAAGATCTAATACTAATGTCTGATGAAAATTATAATCATGATTTGCCAGTATGAAAAAATAGGGTTCACAACATATAAATAGCTTTTATCTTAAAAACAAGATCATTCACTTACCCAATATTTTATCTTATTGGTTTGTCATAGTAATCTATGTTTTACGTAGTTAGGTTTATAATGAATGTAAAAACATTAAACAGTCATGAAGCTCAAGAAGAGAATGTATAATAATAATGTGTACAGTAATACGATACTAACCAGAGTGAGTGTGTGATGTGCATGTTGAAACACTTGCACATCAATATTATTCATATATAAAAACAAAGAATATCTTAAACTATGATTAATATTAAATCAAGCTTCAAACTTGTATGGATTTTGTGAACTTGTAGTAGCGTGGGGCTGAATAACAAATAAAAAGAGATTAACATCCTTGTTCAATTATCGTTATTTCAAGCTTCAAACTTGTAAGGATTTTGTGAACTTGTAGTAGCGTGGGGCTGAATAACAAATAAAAAGGGATTAACATCCTTGTTCAATTATCGTTATTTCAAGCTTCAAACTTGTAAGGATTTTGTGAACTTGTAGTAGCGTGGGGTTGAATAACAAATAAAAAGGGATTAACATCCTTATTCAATTATCGTTATTTCAAGCTTCAAACTTGTAAGGATTTTGTGAACTTGTAGTAGCGTGGGGTTGAATAACAAATAAAAAGGGATTAACATCCTTGTTCAATTATCGTTATTTCAAGCTTCAAACTTGTAAGGATTTTGTGAACTTGTAGTAGTGTGGGGCTGAATAACAAATAAAAAGGGATTAACATCCATGTTCAATTCTCGTTATTTGCATACATCTAAGTTCACCTTTTCTCCAAAACAAAAGATTTATACAGTTGTTAGTTGCTCTCAATTCTTTAGTCTCCTGCTGGGACAGTGGTAAGTCTTCAGATTTACACTGCTAAAATCAGAGGTTTGATTCCCCTTGATGGACACAGCAGATAGCTGGATTTGGCTGTGCCATAAGAAAAAAACTCAGTTCTTTAAGTAAGGAATTTAAAAACAATAAAGGATAATATACATTATTTCAAAGTGGAAATCCTTTCATTAGCTTTATTGGTCATCTTTAATTGTACAGGTCTGACATGGCCTGGTGATTAGGGCACTCAACTCTGTGGGTCATGGGTTCGAATCCCTGTCCCACCAAGCATGCTCACCCTTTCATTATAATGTGACAATCAATCCCAGTATTAAAGAGAGTAACCCAAGAGTTGGTGGTGGGTGGTGTTGACTAGCTGCTTTCTCTTAGTCTGTCACCTCAAAATTAAGGACAACTAGTGCAGATAGCTTGTAGTAGCTTTTGTGAAATTTAGTAAACACAAAAGTGATTGTTCATCTAAGTGTTAAATAAGGTTTCACTTGTAAGAAAAATCACTGTATTGATAAAAAGATATACGATTCTCTTTGAAAGGTATACAATATTATGCAGTACCTTATTAATATTCTTATGCGCAAACTTGAATTTTTTAAATAACAGTTTTATTGTCACTAGTAACAAATAAAATGAATCACGAGGTTTTTGTTATTAGTTTTTTTGTTGTATTATATATTCAAAAACCTACACACAGGAGAAAACTAATGTCCAATTATTTAACATCATTAATAGTGCATAACATTTGTTTTATGAATTAAAATGAGTAGTTTTGGATAGCTTCAAGAGGTAAAGATAATTAAAATAGTGGTAGAAGAAATGTGTTTGAGTATCTAGATAGAAGAAAACTTTCAAAATTGATTTCTATCTGTGAGGGAAAATAGAACTCGAAAGATAAAAGCAAGAGTACCATCAAAGTGCTATTGCAGTTGTAATGCTAAATTATGGCCTTAGGAATTAATCAGAAAAAACTTAAAGAGCATACCCAAGAACTAAGTATTCTTGTGCAGGCTACGTAAAGTATGTATGTGATTGTATTACATTTTGAAGTTATCCTCCTTAATCAAAATTCTCATCTACAAACTTTCTTTGATCTGAATAAAATTACATTATCATACATTCTCCGTTAAAAATATAAAACTTATTGTGTATCTTTTTTTTTTTTATTAAGAATATGATTATTTTGATTATCATAAAGAAGTATTTATTACTTAATTTTCTGTTACAATTATTCAAATCAGCTTCACCATTAATTATGAAGTTTTATTATTTATTATGATTTCTCAGTTGGTATAATAAATTGTTTCTGACGTTTTATGATTTGAACTTCAATGAGACCTATAATTTTTAATTATTTATATTATATTCAGTGCATTAAAATACAGAGTGGATTTTAGCAAGCTGCCCCCCATTAAATGAAATAAAACTAAAACTAAAAATTTTTCCTTATGATTAACTTTTATTATTATGATCATTGAATTAGTCTAACATCACAAATGTTCAGTGCTACCCTTGATTCCTGTATGTAAAATTATCAATAATAATAAAAGGGCATGTCTGTGTGTGTGTGTGTGAGTGCCATAGTTTCAAGAGGAAAAACCTAGTAACCTGAAATTTTGCACCCATACTAAGTGGACCCTGAGGGTGTGCACCTGGGTATTATTACTTATCCATGTTCATGCGTGGATGCACATGTGCATCTTTTTTATTCAGGCAAGCTAGCCAAAAACCACATAGACAAAAAGTGATTTCTTATATTACAAATAGAAATCGGAGACAGACACTCTATCTTATTATTATAGACATATAGCCTGTCAAAAATGATGAGGCAAGTACTACCACTGCATAGTATACCCGGTAGTATATCAGTTAGATTAAAAACTTCTAATATATAGAAAAGCCAGTACATTTTGGTAACAGTGCATTCCAACAATGGTTTTATGTCATGTCGCTTAGCAATAAGAGTATAACCTAATATTGTTGTTAATCTATGTACTGAAAGTATGAAATGAAATGTATAAACAATAAAACTGGAAAATTATTTGTTTATTTCTTAATTTAGAGTCTCCATTGATTAAAGAGATTTGTTTTTATTTAAAATTTTGGGGACATAACAGAAAATACCTTAATTCAGAAATGATTTAAATTTAAAATTGGATCAATATTTTTACTTTTACGATAAATTTAATGCACTTGGCTTTAGGCTAGTTGATCCCACACTGCGTCTTTACTTTAAGGATATTATACCAACACTCACTACACTTATAAGGTTTCACGGTCCCCTTTTACCCCCCCGTCAATAAAATCGTAATGTATGCTGAAATTGAAACAGAAAGGCTGCAATTCATTCACATAAACCAAAAGAAGACTATGTCCACCTGCGGGATGCTAAAATAGGTTCAAAATACACACACTGACATAGTCATCTAGAATATATCAACCTAATAACCCGAGCGAAGCTAGGTACTTTTACTAGTTTGAAATAAAACAGAATTAGCATCTTGTAGTCTGTTCTGTATAACTCGTACATATAAAATTTATTGCATAATAAACGTGTGTGTGTGTGTGGAGAGAAACTAGCTTATTTGTATTGTTCTTCTTGGTGGTATTCTGTTAAACTCTGTTTTTCAAAATAATAATTTTTGTGCTTTCTTCAAAAACTTTTGTCATTTTACTACACTTTTCAAGATGTGAAACGTAGTCACATTTTTGGTGAGATCTTTTGTTACAAAACATAGCAAGGTTATTTTAGTGGTCTTTTAAAATATCATGCTAATTTTTGAATTAATCCAGCCACACTATTTGCAGCAAGGATGTCATCTCTGTTACCCCAGGAACACAGACAGCAGATGACAAATATAATGCCTCGGCACAATTTTGAAGTTTTGTATCGACTGAACTGTGACAGTTTGTGCTCTGACTTCCAAGAAGACTTAGAGTTTCGCTTCTCGTTGGGACTTATATCATTAATGAGACGTTTTCTTGGTCCAAAGCACACTAAACGGTCATCAGAACTGGTGAGAATGTGTGAAATGTTTACAATCGTTACTTATTCTTTTAATCACGTGCAATTGCAAGCTTTGTTTTGGATAACTAAATTATATGCAGGAGCAGTTTACTTGAAAAAAATAATTATACCACATTTTCCTTTTTGTAATGTAACTTTTGAAATATTCATAGTTAATTAACATTTCCTGGGTTTCTATAAGAATAGGCATGAAGGTCTATTCGTGAAATTTGCAGTACAAAAAAGTTCTTGTATTTTAAACTGTCGACTTTACCATTAAAGGAGAGAGAGCAGGAAACAAATTTTTTAAAATGTTACATTTCTTTAATGAACTACATATAAGAAATTACATTTACATTACTTGAGGATCGTGTGATTGACATGTGACACACACCCAGAATCTTCTACATTTTTGTTGCTTTAGAGAAATAAACCTAAAGAAGTAATATATTGCTATCATTGTGGAATCACTTCTGTCACAATTGCTTATAAAGAAATGCATATATCGACAGAAGACCAGTTTAGTAATGTAGTTATTGATTCTGTCTCTTTTCAAAGAGTTATTTTTATTCCTTGTTCATAAAACTAGATCCCTCGTCCTGTTGGTAGCACTCCTCAGACACCTAGTAATGAAGTAAAACACTTTATTCAACCGTCAGCCGATTACTTGGCCATAATTCAACGCATAGCTCTTGTGTCACCAACATCTCAGACAGCTGTGGGAACTTTGGCCATTGGAGGATTTGTAAGGAGGATTTTAAAGTTTTATAGCTTCTTTGGATATGTTTTTTTTTTTTACAAACATATCTGTATTAACAATGTAACACTTCATGTATGGTATATCATTACTATATGTTTTTCAGACCCTGATTTGTTTATGAAAATGCTTAGCTTACCCAGGAAACATTATGCTTACTGAGTTTAAAATTTCTGTTAGTTCTCCCAAATAAAAACAAAAAGGTTTTTAAGTATTTATTAACTCTTTTCAGCACCAATTCCGTCCCAGGGACTGATCTCCTGACCATTTTGTGTTTGTTATAGTTTTAATGCTATAACTTTTAAATTAATAAGTGTATCTTCACAAAATTTAGCATTTTTTTTTGCATTTTATTAGTAATTATTACAAAGTTTTAGTATGCAAAATATCAAACTTTTTTTGAACTTTTAAGGTTTCTTAAGTAATGATTTTCTCATGCCTTTTTTTGTTTTCAAATGTTGACTACCCAACTTGCAAAGTAATTTTGATTTTAAGATTAAAAAATACTTTTATTTATCAGAAAATTTTCAAATTTCACATGCAAAATCTTTATTAACTCCAGATAATTACCAAACATTTAAAAAAAACAACAACTTTATATCTTATCTGCTATTTTCACTACTATCTCTATGAGTTGGATCGATTTGGATGACCTTGTAAACATCATAAAAAAAATTAGGAAATGTACATTTTGCACTTTTCATT